ATAGAAGTAGTTTCATGAAAATTAGTATACCGTGGTTTGTTCGGCACACAGTTTGGACTCACACGTGCGTGAGATGCAGATCGCGATTATACAATCCTGGTTCGCTGTGCATGCATTCACCTCTGTCCTGGCAACGGGTTAGTGTGATCGATTTCGTGAACACCATCGGACATGGTTGAGCAATGGACCATTCGTTAATGGTCATTCTTAGCGCATCCAAACAACCCAGTAGATTTGTTGAATGCATTTTGTTCCATTAACAAAGACCGGTCAATTGCAGCACTACAAATTTTATAGGACTGATATGCGTTCGGAAAACGCATTTGTGTATACTTCAACTCTTCGACTGACATCCTCCCACACACGTTCACGCACAGTCCGAGTCTAATCAGAACACTAGGAAGTACGAACTACCAAGCCCATCTGATGTTTTCTTTTATCTCATCTGATGTTATCTGCCGCAAAATTTCAAACTCCTAAAAATAAGTTTGTTCGCTATATTTTGTAGCTCTCTGAAAAGTGCATGGCATACATGGTATACCTGGAGTATGATAAATGTTTCTAGTAAACTTCAGGTCGATTCTCATCCACTTTACTGCTCCCCTGTAGTGTTTCCCGGTCTAGTAAAACAACACTTTAAAACTGTCCGTCGTGGATTAATGATAATAAGCCGCGCATTTTTAATTTCTGCCGATTCATTAATCACAGAACTTATTATTGGTCATATGAAGTCTGGCATGTCCTTTGCCAATGGAATTCTAAATGACCCCACCCATCCTCTGCATTTTGGCTTATCCTCTTGTCGCTCCCATTCAATCACTCGTTCCTCTTATCGGTACCTACCCTCCCGAATAAAAATTTATAAAAACTCCACTGTACCGTATCTGGCTCGCATCTTGACCAACAAGGAACGAGGTGTAAATGATTTAGGTCAATCTTTAATTCAATGAATCAAACTTTAGAGACATTTTTTAAATTTGTTTATACTTCTGTATTTTCTCCGGTGTGACGAACAGTGTACAATTTTTAACTGAAATGTAAGCATATCTCAGCTAGCAAAATTTATACAAATACAAATACAAGATGACGAAAATGATCTTCTGTTCGGGAATGACTGCAAAAGAGACAAGTCTCTTTTCGTATTACCTGAAGCAGTTGCTAAGCTTTGGTTGAAATCTTTCAGGCCAATGAGACAGAAATATGATATAAGATCGTGGGCTCATTAGGAGATCGTTTATCAAGATTATACTTTGCGATGACGGCTAATGGTCCAATTCGATGGTATACCAGCCATGCGTAGTCTATCATCTCGCTGGAATAAAAAGTTTACTGCAGACAGGTATATGTGAAGACCTACCAAGTTCATGATCATGGGCCTACTAAAAGGCTAGGTCGGAAAGAAATGACTCTAAACGAACCTCACATTCATTCATTTGAATGCATGCAACTTTAAATGATCTCTAGAAGGATATCCCTGATCACTCCATTAAATGAACTATAGTAATAACAATCCGCGTGAAGGACCTAGGCATTAGATAACTCGAAAATGTTCGGATAACCCGTGAGGAAAGAACAATGCACTTCTTAACAGGATTTGATCTAAAAACGAGGTCGTGGAATTTATGTCCGTTATGGGGTGACAACTGGGCGAAAATTGCACATAGGTGGCCGCTGTACATCGTCAACAAAGCAATACATTAAAATAGATAGTGTTCAAAGATATAATTACTAATTCTGAGTCCGCTAGTTGCATCTTTTTCTTGATACATTCCCATAGGGAGCAATGTTGTTCAACGACTAGACTCACTGTGATAGACAAATGGAAGAATGAAGTCTACCACTCCTTACACGTGATCAAATCGTTTCTTCCAGTATGCAGATTCGAAACGGCAACGAGGAGAATGCGAGTGTTGTACACTACAGTAAAAGTGGACGCAGTCAGCATTTGATTCCGTGCGAACAGAACTTCATGGTGTTGCTTAATCTATCGTGACCAAATTTCGATTTTGTGGACGACCAAGTCTCCAGCATCTGAACAGATCTTAAAATCCGCATCTGATGGGGTGTGCAACACTCAATCAACCATTCTTTACCATGAATGAACTTTGATCGATGTGGTTTATGAAATGATTTTACTTCAATGGGAATTTCGTGCTTTTTAATCCCGTCATGCCAGTTATGTTCGAACAATTTCTCGGTGGTTTTCGATGAACAGTGACCAAAATTCATCATGATATCCATGAGATTCAACAGTAAACGAGGGATATTTTGAGCTTAAACTTCAAATGTTTCTGAACAGAACCGAATGACCGCTAGTGAATTGGTTCGCTCAGCGATCACTCTCACACACAGTGATCCTCCGCATCGTGTTGCAGTCGTCAAATCAGCTGATTGGCAGATGAATGGATAAATCGATTAACCTGCAGTTTTTGTTTGAAACGCTTTGATTCTATCACCCATGTTCACTGCCAATCTTTTGTCGCCCGCCCGCCCCCCCCCCCTTCAGTTAGTTAAAGCGGTCAAATATCTTCTACACAAAAGAGTTTGCAAGTGACATCGATAGTTTCTGTCCCGGCCTGGTAGAATTGGTTATACACCGCGGTGGTTTTCACAATTAGGTCGAAATAAGAGAGTTGGGCTACGGTAGTACTTCAGGCGCTATCTGTTCCTTCACAGGGTGCTGGTTAATAAGCAACGTTTTGGCCTTCAACTCGTTACCTATGGTCACGTGTTTGTTCGAATCTTATCCTCACTCTTCGATACCCAATAAGCCCTACTATGGAGAAGAATATTTTATTATGTTGCGCATTGTGATATGATTGATGTTCAAGTGTATTTTTTTATTCGTTATTGATTTCTGCTGCCTCCCTCATTCATCATTTGGCCGAGTGCGCCAGCCTTACTGTCGAATTCCGATAGAGTGTTCAGCTGTTCGTCAGCATGATAGGGTGAAATCCATCAGTGCACCCGCTGACCTCGTGCGGTTTTGCGTTGGTAGAACTGTGATTAGCCATCGATATTCTATGGTTCGGATAACCAAATAAATGAAAAAGAAAACAATTGCCTTCAGAATTGTTTACACATGTCGCACGCATTTGTCGCGCAAATAATAGCGTATCTCCTCGGAAGGATTGAAGAGAGTATCAAGATCTGTCTTATTCAACGCTATCGTATAATGTGAATTGTGTGTTTACAAGACAGTCTACTCTGGAATCAGACAGGCTATCTCTAAGGGAGGGATCAAGGTTATTTCAGTCTTCTCCGGTCAGTTTTACTCCTAATTATGACTTGGTTTCATTTCTACAGAATTGCCGTATTCATTATTGATTGAATCTGCAAACTGTTTCCGGGGTCAGTTGATCCAGGTAGTGATGACCATCGATTTTCTCGTGAGAAACTGTTGGCGTAAATTCAAAAGTTTTCAATGCAATGATATCTAAATGATGCAGCACGTACTCATTGTATGATCATTTCCACCTGAAGCGGCCATTTTATCATATTTTCCAGAGAGGTAAGCTTCAAGCGTGTATTCATTGGCTGTCAGATATGGTAAACACAGTAATGATTCGTCGTCATGTAGCTTTCCGCCTCAAACCGAGCAACGTGGCAACATTGTGTCAGAGCAATTTTTAGCCCAAACTGCCTAGCTTCACCGAGTCGTTTTAATTGAATGATAAAACCTTTAAAATATCGAGATATTTATGAACCTCAAAGAGGAATCTAAAAGAAACCAGTCTTACTGCTTATCCGATAACGACAGTTTCTCCTATCTCGTTGGTGTTCCCCTCACCTGACTCATTGTGCTATCCGACTGGATAATGTTACTCGTCAGTTGCGCATCAGAATGGCACGAAAATGTTTATGATGCTCCGATAGTTTGATGTTCTACAGTAGTGTGATGACATCCTAGTTGCCTACGCTACGCTGAGAGAGATCAATTCATGGTTCCTGGGGACGCATTACGTCCCTTGTGGCTGCCGTCCATCTGTCGTTCCTCTCTATCAGATATTTTTACCAGACCCGCAAGATATAACAACCAAAAACCCTGTGACCTTGAAGCATCGAATCACCACCATTTTTTAGTTCTCGATAATCTCGGGCTGGTTTGAACACATCGGGAATACACAACTATCATGGAGATTTACGACAAGCTTTTAATATATCCCATTAGACTAGTGGTTACGGTCAACACCTTCGTATCCCCAAACAGTGGTCATCGAGAGACAGAGACAGAGAGAGAGGTATCCAGTTAGGAGCACTGTGAATGTATTAACGAGCTCTGTAGTGTGTAGAAAATAGCCAATAGCGTATGATACAAGCAAGCATTGGAAGGGATCAGAAGATAGCCAGACGTTGTTAGTGTGTGTGTGTGTGTGTGTATGTGTGTGTGCGGATGGAACAAACCGAAATTACAGGGAATCAAATGAGCCTTAGGTTCAATGGGATTGGAGGGCACGGGAGGGCGGGGCACGATCGGGAAGGTCTGGGAAAAATAATAAGAATTCATTGAAATAGTATTAGTAATAGTTAGTGTATGACCGGATTTCAGATACGAAGTCAGACTGAAGTTGGGTGGGAGTCGGTTCATAGAGGCATGATTTTGCATCACCTAGGCGAAGGGAAATGGAGGCCAGAGGAACACTGGGTTCCAC